AATTTTGTTTTTTATTTCAGATCTACTCAGATGAGGTTCTTTAATTATAAATTAACTTATTTTTTTTGGGGGGGGGGACACAACGGTTTCGTTTTGGTTTGAACAAAATTCGTACTTTCAAATTTGGATTATTTCCAATTTGAATGCATATAAATTCAGGAATTTGGATGCATCTGAATTTAACTAAATTCCTCTGACTTTCCATTCAGAAAGAGACTACATTTACATGTCTAATATTAAGTAGGATATATTGTAGCATTAAGGGATTCCGTTGTTGAGGGAAGTTTTGTTTTATAGACAGCAATTTTTACCCTATCAGCTAACCCAGGGGCGTCCCGAGGCTGGGTGACACCCGGAGCAGTAACCGTCATCACGCACGCGCGGCAGTATTCTGATACCTGCCGGCGTCCATCACCAAGAGAGAGGAGGGGACAGTCACCCGACGGGATAAGGTATGCCACCGGGTCCCCTCCTCTCTCCTGATACTGTCGGGCGTTCGGTACATAACCGAGCACCCCCCCGCGTGATGTCACTGAGCTAACCTTTAATCTCCCCCTACATCACCTAAAGAAAGCCCTTAATTCCTTGAAGGCTTAAACTCTAGTCTGCTGTATACAACATCCTGCACTAGTAATATGCTGAAAGCACAATGCCAGATACCTGAAGAAACTACTTTGTACCGCCCACAACACAGGCTCACTTTAACAAAAGATAATCATTTGTTTTATATGTGCCTATATAGCACCGACAATTTACACAGCGATGTACATTCACATCAGTCCCTATCCTCAAGGAGCTTACAGTCCAAAGTTTGGTTTGGTATTCATTGCACTCTGATCACCAAGAAACATCAGTTGAATGTCATCTTAAAAGAATGAAAGCTTATTGCTCACTGTTACTACACTGTTGCGATCTGTACCCCTATTAAATAAGCCTAAATGCGTGCAACATTTCAAACATGAAAGCGTTATCAATACAGACATTCCTCGTTTACCAACTTACCTGCTTTGCGACCACTCGCACTTACGACAGACCGCCAATCGACCTCCGACCTTGCGCGACGTGTCGCCGGCGGAAGTGATGTCCTCCGATCTTCACTGTGGGTCCCGGTAAGTATTTTCATTGCCCGATGTACAGTACACTGTTCGGTACTGTACATCTGCAACGCCGTACTGTACTAATGCAGTACAGTACTGTATAGAGTTCCTCACTTAACGACCAATTAATTTAACGACCTGGTCGTAGGAACGGAAGTCGGTCGTTAAGTGAGGAATACCTGTATTGCCTTACAATGTTACAGGTACCCGTGAGTGACTTAAGTAACCATAAGGACTTGTTCATACCATGATCAGATCGGCAAATGCAGTACAGATACATTTTTTTATGTGCTCTGGTGCGGTTTTCTAGCTTAAAATGGGCTTTCAGGTGCAGCGCGTTTGAATGTGTTTTGGTGCGCTCCAGAGCAGAAAAAAAACATTGTGTATGCAGCATTTTCCCCCTCACCAGAATGGACTGCACTGGTGTGAACAGAGCCCGGAATTACATTGGGATGCATTTCAGGTGCAGACAAAAACTGCTCTGGTCCGGACATGGTGTGAACAACCCGTAATTCATTACCTCTGCATGAGGGTGTTTGGTATGGTACAAATACTGAATCACTTTTTTGGGGGGAGCTTCCAATATTGCGTGTGTGAAAATGACAGTGTGTAGTGCATGTGTTGTTTTTTTTTTAAATATATGATGCTTTAATGGCTCATAGGACCAGATCCAAGAATATATTTCCACACACATCCCATATTATCCTTGTCTGCTATACTATTGTACTCCATCTCAGACCAAAAACACAGGTATGGCACAGACTGCTCTATAACCAGAAGAATTGTTAGATAAATTACAAGAATTTCAAGGTATTCTGCCAGGAAGGCTTGGGGCACTGTCCACACAAGACAAGACACCTTAGCATAGAAATCTTAAAATATGCCAACCAGAACATTTAGGCTCTTAGATTCAGGTAGTTTCTTCTATACTGGTTCTCTTCAAGTGGCATGGAGGATTTTTTTTAAAGAAAACTATGGGGTAACCTTTTTATCCCATAGTATTCTTTAGGGTCACAGGAAGACATACTAACCTACCGTTACCCAAAGCTCAGTACATAGCAGGCTATAGCTTGCTATATACTGAGCGAAGCAGCCGGGATGGATCCTGACGATACTGGTCGAGATTCATGCAGCTCCAAGAGTGACTGCATGCTCTGCCTCTCTAGAGGCAAAGCCAGCTGTGCCCCCCCCCCTCAATGTTACACATCGCCTCTAACTATGAGGATGAGTATAATCATTCACCTTATAGTTCTCCTTTAAGCAAAACACTTGGAACAAATTAATGCTCGTTTCAAAGCCATTGCTTCACACAAATTCAAAGTTTTGCCAAAAGGCCTGGGTAGAGCTATAACCCAAAACAATTGGGATTAGTCATCTCCGTATAGTAAAATCTGATGCCACAGATTCTGCACTTGGATGTCTCCATTAAATAAGCCCCTTTTGAGTCATGAGATATGGCCTATAATTATTGAATTTACAGTAGGGCAAGTACATTGTTGTGGTTCAAACTAGGAAAAAAAAAAACCTGTCCCTGACCGTTAACCATACCACTTTAAATCTGTACATACATTATTCCCACTGCAATCTGTCAATCATGGTTTACAGAAGTAACCAGGTAATTGTCAACTCCCATTTCATCTTGGACATGAACACAAAAAAAAAGGCCATTTGAAATTTTTGCTTTACTTTTCATTTTGGTCTAAGGGGCTCATTCATAATTGAAATAAAAAAAAAACCACACCACAGGACATTGTATAGTGCAAACAGAACTCCTTTCTGCTTAATGAAGCATTAACAAAAGGAGAGCATTCTTCCATGTGTTCTTACTGCCCTTTGCTGGCTTGACTCTAAAGACTGCAGCTTGTAATACAATTGTAAATCACATTGCTGTGCTGTACAAACATGGCAAGGATTTACAACATTTTGTTCCAAAAGCCAGGTGGGTAGCAAAGATTAACCTGCCAATAGAAATTAGGTGGTCAAACCCGCAATTATAAGCCAACAGCCTTTAGGCATCTTAGTCAGCCAGCATGACACAAAACATGTATGGCATCATCTAGCAACCAGTTGTGTTTAGGTCTAAAAAAGGTGCAGCACAAGAAGTCCACAGTTAAGTTTTTCTATTCCTTTGCTATAATACACTACATAAAATATGTTTGTGGACACCTGACCATCCTGTTGCACAAGCCATGGGCACTTATGAGTTGACCCCCACCAACTACTTTCACTTGTCTAGCATTGCTTTTCACAAGATTGAGTAAATCTGTGGGAATTTAATGTCTATTCAGTCAAACGAGCAGGCCAAAAAAGTTGGCTGGAGTTAGGATTTACTTGGTTCGTAACGTCCCAGCTAAAAATTCACCACCCAACACTACCCAGGTAACAATACTGCTAACCAAGGGTGGTTCCATAAAGTGGAGTCTCCCTAAGACAAAGTGTGTTACTGGTCAGATCACCAGGTGAAACTAGCCCAACATAAACATATGCAGTCACTGCATTAAGGACTGGTAAGCTGCAATATGTTAGATTTGTTTTGGTGGTTAGAAACACTTAGAATAGCACAACCCTGATTATGGGCAAAACCCATGTCCTATTGCCAAGTCTACATAACCTCTTCAATTAAAATCTTTACACTAATCTACAAAATTGCAAAAATGGACATACAAATCTGACAGGTGTTCAAACTTTCCCCAACTCTATATAAATGTTTGTCCATCTGGTTTTTGAGTCTCCCTCAATTCCCGTCTGGTAATAAAATTGTCAGCCTATGTAAAGTGTAAATCTCTCCCAAGAGTCCTGGACAGCAGTAAAAACCTGAGGGGATATAACCATTCCATACACTAATCAAAATCTGGATGTCAACAAGTCAGGTTCACCGATTCCAAAAGTGTGTCATTATACATCTAGAAAAAAATAAACAAAAAAGTTATTCACTACTGAAACAGGTCCAAGGGCTTAGTGCAGAGAATAAGTATGGACCTTTGAGACTTGTAGGTCCACATTTACCAGAAAAGCCTCAGATTCTTGAAAAGGTGGCTACTTTGAGCTAAAACAAGGATTCCTTTTTACCAGCTGTACTGAAAGTTACTTTACCAGATTTGGGATGAATCACTGCCAATTTATAGCAATAAAGTGAGATTTTACATTCACATTTAATAGTTATAACTTTGGTTTTCGGTTCCATCTTTACAGTGTAGAAAATCTAACTCACTGGTGGTTAGGCCTTGTAATGGATTTCCCCCCCCCCAACATGGCAACAGCTTACTCAAGCATAGGCAGCAGCACTGTTGAAATGTGGGGGCTGTCTTGGCAATGAGACTCAGCTAGCAGTATCCTAAGAAAGCTGTTCCCATATAGCTGTAGCACCAGACCTAGAGCCCAAGTAGCTAAAACTATTGCATGCATTGCTTCATTTTAATTATCCTTCAACTGGGAGAATCCACAACACTTAGTGTCAGTGAAGTGACTGGAGATGGGCTTTTTTTTTTTTTTTTTTTTTTTTTTTTTTTTTTTTTTTTTTTTTTTTTTTTTTTTTTTTTTTTTTTTTTTTTTTTTTTTTTTTTTTTTTTTTTTTTTAGACACATTATATATTTCAGCTGCACTGCAAATGGGACAGGTCATTTGTGATTGTCTTTTTTTTATACATCTAGAAACATTTTAGTATCGCTGATCAGAGGAAAAGAAAAAGCTCCCAATACCATTTGTAGGCGAGTCCTGTAGTTTGTTTAATAAAAAAACTTCAGGCAATTGTGGACAATAGTCACTAGCAGTGGTCATTTATCTTTCACTTGCATATGCCCTTCCAGATAGTGACAGCAGGGCACATTCACTTTTAATAATTTCCTCTCAACATGAATAGGTTAGTGTTTTAAAAACACAAAAAGGTTAAGTAAAGAGATGTCAAAGCAGTTTTCAATTACTTTAATTGGTCAGAAACAATAGTTTCAAAGAATTCACACTTTAAATACATTATATTTTATCCAGTATCATTCTTTTAGGATCATCAATAGAGAAACTCCTTCTCCATACAAGCAGGAAACCTTTCATAATACTGAAAGTACATCAATACCAAGCAGTAGGCTGCAACAAAACAAAATTGCACAATTGTTCATATAGTACAGCAGACAAACCATACAGATTTGAGCTCTTTAACTGAACATTAACTTAGGACAGAATATATTCTTTAATTATTAATCACACAAACACATGATGCATAAATATCTCCTTATTAAACAAGTTACAAAAATACTGGTACTCTTGTTCTGTTTCCCCATAGGTTTGCATTATTTGGCAAGGACAGACTCCTATGAAAAGAAAAAACAAAAACATGGAAACCGAAGATTGAAAGTAGCATTCAGTATGGACTGTTAACTGCATTTGTTTGAATTTGAGGTGGTAGACTGAGCAGTACATTAAGCCAAGTTAATCGCTGCATGACTAGAGATTCAGGGTCTCAATGCAGACCAGCTGAAATTGGTAAACAAGCAATAGATTTAACAAGCACACACACTTAAATAGCTAATTCATGCCAGAAAGTCAACATGCGATGAAGGAAGATCCATAGCATTACAGAAATGTAGAACATGGTCTGGCAAAAGCAGGACCATGTAATTGTTTCATGAGTCACATCAGGTTACTCCATTTGGACTTCTTGATGAAGTTAACCAGAGGCTTGTGTTCCACAGAAAGATTGGCAAATAATTCATCTGAAGTAACTGAAAGGATTGGCATTGCACTTCCACATTACGAAGGCTTGGTCAAACATTCAGAGGCATCTGGAGAAGTAGGTTTAGTTTTACAAACACTTGTTCATTTCTGGCACATTTCATAAAGGAAAAAACCTAGGGGAGATGAAACATATGAAAAGTTAAAGCCAATTAAAAGTACACACACACGGTATATGACCCATCTAGCCCATGAAACGTTGCCCTTTTCAGAGATAATGGACATCCAGTGCCATGCTTAAAGTAAATCTAAATGCAAAAATTTAGGACTGAAACTAATGCAGCCACCACATCCATTTTCACCTAGTGATTATGGCAGTAACCTTCCTCGTTCTAGTATGACAATGCTCAATCATTAACCCTCCAGTATCAGAACAGAAATTAGACCAAACCTTCATCCTTTTGTTTAAGATGGGCAGGGTCCTGTTGTCCTCAGAAATACACAAACCGTGCAGCACAGGAACCATTACCCAACAAGATTCGACACCTTTTTTGGCCGAAAAAGCTGTGCATATCTGGTTTCTCTCATCCCTGATGAGTGCTCTGGGCTTCCGACAGAGCAGTGTCCAGCAGGGAGAAGAGAAAAAGTGTCAGGAGGCTGAGCAGGGCAGGAAGGAGAGCGCCATCAGATGTCCTCTTCCTGCACCGCCCTTTTTCCCATACCGCTTGCTCAGCCTCCTGTGACATCGAGTCATGGAGAGCGGAATACAAGCGCCCAGCTGATTGAGTGTTTGTAAACGGAGGACATGGTATGTTTAGTGTATCCTTAATTATGAACGAACAGGAAGTGAATTCACTTCCTGTGAATTAATGGATTGTGGACATAGTAACTCTTACTATTACTATATCCACAATGAAATGGACAGGAGCACTCAGTATATAGAGTGTTTTTGTTCAGAACAGGGGCTCAAAAAAAAAGTCCATTACCTAATTTTTATATTGCAGAAGAGACATATCAGGGGTCTGTTGCCACAAAACACAACAGAAAAAAAAAGGAGTTGATTAGCAATTCTTGATCTGACATTTTATTTTCGGTTTGAAAATTCCATTTCTGTGCACCGCTAACAAAACCTTTTCAATGACATAGTAGACAAATAGAGCAAATAGGTTTAAGGTTTACATACCCCTTACATTTAGAATATTCTCCTTTGCTTAGACTATATACCTACCAAAGAGCTTTTAACAGAACTGGCGGGACTTCCATCCTTGTTGGGCGGCTTCAGATGGAGGATACCAACGCATCTGGAAATCAATTGCACATGATTAGATTAACATGTGAAGGCAGGCATGGGCTGCAAATTGTTGAATACCCACTGTCTTGTGGTTGTACAGTAAAATCATATGCACAGATAAACATCGTTACCCTAAATTCAAAGCAGCTCCCCATCAGCATAAATAATGCTTAAAAGGTTTATTAAATGCAAGCTGCATACACTTGGTCACTTGTCTTCTAACAGCATGGTGAAATAAAAAAAGGAGTTTTTGAACCACCGCATTTAAAGCTGAATGCTGGAATTTTTTTACTACCCATTTTGTTCCCAATATCTGCAGCAGTGCACCCCAAGGGTTAACCGTTTCTTGCATCCAGGGTTAGAGGTATAACCTGCAATACCTGCCTTATTTCTGTGGCAGACTTCCACCACACTGCAATCAGCCCCTGAAGACTCTGGCACACCAGCCAGCTGATGCACTGAAATGCTCACATACAATGCTCACATACAATGCTCACATACAATGCTCACATACAATGCAGGATCAACAGTCCCGTGCTGTATGTGATGGGCCCTCCCACAACCCTGAGCATCCAAAAAGGCAAGGTGCCCAGGGGGTGAAGAGTAAGGCAAGTATTACAGCCAATTTATGTGCCCAGACTTGGAACAGTTAGCCCTTGTAATGCATCTGGCCAATTCCATCTTTGCTGGATTTGGTGCAGACACCTTGGGGATCTTGAGCAGCGATTTTTTTTGCCTTATGGTGTGTTGCTGTATCTTAGAAGTGGGCCGTCTCCAGGTAAGCATGCCTTCAATTTATAAATTGCCATTTATGCCCCAGGGACAACACTTTAGAGGTTCCTTGATGGAGCTTTACATGCAATAAAAAGACCCGTTTTTACCTAAAATCTAGGTGAACCAATACTGGAGCAGACATCTGGAGCAGTTGGGCACAGCAACCAATCAGCTTCTTTCATTTTCAAATCTTAACTGAAAAGACTGATGGTTTCCATGGGCACTGCTCCAGATTTTGGTCTGCTTCAGTTTTGATAAAATCCCCTCTATGTATTTTGTGGCAACTAGTTTGAAAGTGTGCTAGGGAATTCTTGCATTAACTTTGTATATTGCCCTTACCATGTGCATCTTTTTTTTTTACTAGTTTTAGTGAGAGGCCATTCTTGCTGTGCTAAGCTCCTGCCACAAGAAAAAGTCTGCACAATGTACCATTGGCTTTTATATTATAGAATACGCTTTGAGTACTGCACTGAAAACACGGATCTGTATTGAGTGGCAAGATCTGAGGTGCTGCCATATTCCATGCCACAGAAAGTGCTGTCTTTTTGGCTAGGTCCAGACTGATTTTGATGCACCAGCCATACTTCTAACAAAATGATCCACAAATCAAAAAGCTATATTGCATGTAAAACAGGCTTTAGCAACAAGTCATGCTAATAGTCCATCTTTAACAAGAATCTTCCAGGCCACACGTGTTTAACCCCCTGACATGTTCTCACAATCTTTCCGTGCTTCCCACTGCAAACAGCCCATGTGGAATTCATTTCATGTAGCATCTTAGTGGGAACAGGAAAACCTCATTTGTCAGACAACGTAATGCTCTTTCCCCTGGAAATATTCAGTCTTTTGAACGACTGTTCAAAGTTATACTACTAAAAACTTGAGACCTTTCAGGACAAAAAAAAACAAAAAACTCTTAATCATTTTTTGCAGGCAGCATTGCTTGACTTTAACACATCAGGCCTTCCAGGACTATTCTGTAGGGATTGGACTAGTGTCAAAGCATTTCAGAATATGTTTATAGCTATAAAGTTGTCGATCAATTGGCTAAGACTGTTTCCAACGGACTAGATGCATAACCCACTTGAAAGCTCTAACCCTGGAGAGAGGTTTGTTAAAATTAGTATATTACACAAGTATCCGATAGCCATTTTCAGACAGATGTTTTTTGTTCCGTCTGTTTGTGGCAAGAAGCAGGGGGAGGGAACAGAAGATAACATTCCATTGCCAAGCAGCATAATTTCTGGAGCAAGTCTACGTCAGGGGTGAAGATACAAATTTAGACTTTGTTTTTGCTGTCAGAGGTCAGGACAGCACTTACCAAGCAGTTAGAAATATTTCTGACTTTCCAATAGCTTGAAAAATCTGAGACTAGAATCCCTTCTTGCAGACCATTTTGCTCAGGGCCCAGGCTGCTGACAAGCCTTTCTCTTATACACAAGTATACATGCATTATACGTTTCTTTCATCAATCAAGCTAGCATTGATTTTAATAAATCTGAAAGCTTAAGCAGTAAAAAGGTGAAGACCGATCAGCCACTAGATGCAGTTCAGTGGCTCAATGCATTCTTCTTTCTGGATTTGTCTTCAGTGTGAAGTCCCCTTCTCACAGGCTGATCAGGACCCATTTACAGATCCCCGCCTGATCAGAGGATAACGGATCAGAAATCACTGCTGTGATGTGCGTCTGTCCAGTTTCGTCCTCCCATCTTGCAACAGAGAACTAAAAAACTGCTGAACCTTATGTTAAGTCTGATGTAAACAGATGTATCTACATCAGATTACCCCCCAATCCAACATTATCAGGTCCAGCAAAACTGAACACTAGCCAAGTGTTCCAACCTTTAAGTTGTTACTGCCATTTAATCTCCAATCTGAGTTCTGCGTTCTATTTCTCCAGGGACAATAGTAGAAATTGTTATCAAAGATGGGAATTCTAATTTTGGGACAGTCACTGAATGGTTCATGTTAGAGGAATGCAAAAACTATAAAAACAGGAAAAATCTTCCATCAGACTCACCAATTCAGGTGGAAGTTCAGCTTATAAGTGCAATATTGCTACAAAAACACTTGGCAACCAGGACCACTGATTTTAGAAGTGGTATAATTGAGCAGTGATATGCGGTGCCTTCAATGCTGGGTGAAGCAATCCCCAGCTGTGCCCCACCAAATCTGGAAGGGAGGAACCTTACTAGTGAGGCATCAATATCAATGTCCTCTTTTGATTGGACAGCTTAGACCAATGGCGCTTTATCATTGGTCCAGACCATCCAGCGCTCAGGCCTCCAACAGTAGAGGCTGTGACACCTCTTACCTCACTTTTGTTAGGTTACACAAGCCGTGGGGAAACTCGCTGCTGTGTAAATTATATGGCAAAAGCTGGATGCAGCGCTGCCTGTAAACAGGCAGTGCTCCGTCCATGACAGCTTACACAGCGGGGAGGCTTTCCCTGCTGCGTAACCTGCTAGAAGCCGATCTGAATGAAGAAAAAGCCGTCAGCTTCAGACTTTAAGCAGACTGTTTACCTCCATACTAGGCGAGGCTCTGCCTCAGAGGTTCGGTCAGCTGAGGCTCAGTCATTGAGAGCATTAACTTATGTTCAGAGTTAACAGGAGTTCAAAGTGCAGCTTCCTGTTGTCAAGGATGATTCAGGACACTGAATTAGGGTATACACCGGTAGAATTTCAAACATTAAATATGAAAAATCTCATCTGACCGTTTGATAATCCCATCAGACACTTTTAATTTAGTTTTGATTTAACATCTGATTTTCAACTGAATGAAGTTCCCCAAACAAACCACATTCACCGTTAGAATTTCGTTCGATCAAGAAAGTTTCCCAACATGCTCCGACTTTGTTACTGCAGTGAAAGTGGTCAATTTATCCCATCAACCAATAGAAAGTTGGACATATGAAATTCTAATTGTGTATACCCTACTTTAGACCTTTTATAAACTGAAAAAATCGAGTCCATGTCCCCTGAGGAGGTGGACAGAGCACAATACAGTATATAAAACAGCATTGTACCAGGGTGATTTATGGCAATAGAAGAATTCACAGGACTACTACAAATTCTAACACACTTTATAGCTGCCTACCATAGGTTTTCCACATTTTAGCAAAACATGTGAATGAACTACTTGATTTACAAAATTCAGTTATTCATACTAACCAGATTTGTCCAGAAGGTAATTTTCTTATTAGGCAAAGGGGTTGGGGCTTTTGACACGAAGTTAGTGCCTCTTTACTCCTTTATCAAGTAATGCTCTGTTTTTACTTTCTTGTCCAGATCAGTGAGCAAAGCATCCACATTTATGATTACCAGTAGTTCATATTTTCAACAGTACTTTTGAAACGTTACATTGTGAATGGGTTCTGAAGTCCCATATTCAAGTTTCATAACTGAAAATTCAGTTACATTCAAAACTTTAGTGTCAATGCTTGGCAACTAAGTGCAAGATTGCAGAGCCAGCTTCACCCTTCGAGTGCATGGGTACCTTGAGTATTTTGGTAAGAAACCAGATTAGGTATTATCACTCAGCCAGATGATTCTGCTTTAAATGGTTTAACAGGAAAGTCACTTAGTGATATAATGTTTAACTACATAAAGCACACTAGTAAACCATTTACTTTGGTTTCACAAACTGAGTGCCGAAATATTATGTTCGACTCAAACAGTGCAAAGTATTACTGGCATGCTGTATAGACAGCATGGCTGCTCATCACTACAGTCAATTACTAGAAAATTATATCTGGTAATACAGCTCACCATGTGACCCTCTGCTTTTAGAAAGAGCCAGGGAACCTAGCTAGAAAGGACAGCTAAAAAAGTCGAGAACTACACTTGCCTCCTTGTTGTAATTTGTGCATTATGGCTCTGAAATCTGCAAGGAATGCAGCTATTCTGTGCAATTCTATAAATTAAGGTTTCAAATGGAAGTCCATGGGCCAGTTTCCATTTTCTATTCCTAAATACAAAAACTAAAAGTAGAGTACATACAGGCCTAAGCCAAATGGTACTGATGTTCTCCCTGCACAATTATTGTAAAGTCATAACTTGGCAAGGACAACAGAAGTAAAACTAACATTTTGGATCAGAAGGTAGGCAACCTCTGCACTCTAGCCGTGATGAAACCGAAAATCCCATCGCCTCCACAAGCTATGCAATGGCTTTAAGGAACTGTAGTTTCCCCACCCCTGCTTTAGTTAAAAAAAAAAAAACACACCACAAGGACAGACTACAGACATGGGCAGAGCAAAGAACCAGAATTGAGGAGGCAGCACACAGCCAGTCAGGACTATTTTTCAAAAATGCTTGTCCTTTTCTAAACATTTATAGGAGGAACAGCAGATGACCGATGTGTGCTGCCGTTTTCAGTATCCAATCACTAGGCTAAGTGGGCATGTGTCCAAACTTTACTGCTCAGCTCCAGCCAAGGTCACCAACCAGCTACACTGACGAAGGGGCTATAGATCACAAGTGAAATATTTGGTAAGTACTAAAAAGACAGATGAATTTGACTTTAACCATTTCCCAAAAGTTTAAAGCTTAACTTCAGATGACTGCTGAGCTATTGAAAATGAATTTGCCAACAGGCTTGTATGTAGAAGACCAGATGTACTGCATTATAGGTGAAAAGGTCACCATTATGTTATTTGTCTAGAAACTACCCTAGGTCAGGGCTTTTAGCATATGCCATGAGGCATACGACTATGGCTGTTCAGAATATTTGAAAATGTTCTGAATTGCATTAAGTCCCTTTTATTACTAGAAAATAAACCAAGGAGAATGCTCACCTGTGCATGAAGTGCTGCTGCAGCTGCAGCTGCTGCTGGGTATGTAAAAGCAGCATGTGGAATTGCTGGTGCCAACTCAGTAGTGTACAGTGGATAGGGAGACCAGGCTTCTGGTGAGGCTGGGATAAGTGCAGCTCCTGTTAGGTCATCTGTAATAAGGTTGTCATACAATCAGGAAACTAATTTAAACTAGTCATATGCTATACAATGTTTATTTTCATGCTGTAGCCAGTTTAAAAAGTGAACTGCATTTTACACAACTTGACTCAATGGGTACCTTTGCCCAGTTCGGTCCAGGTTCAATTACCAAGTGAGATTTTAAAGTTTGAGTTAAAAAAGGCAGCACAAAAACAATACCCAAACTTAGTTTACACAGATTACATAATACAAGAAAATACACGCTCCCATCGCTTATCCTAGGATACTGCTTAACTGAAGCAAAATGTTGCCCCCTCACCCACAATCCCACCCTATACAGAAAACTTACATGGATCTCGTGCAATGAAATGTGCTCCAAGTGCAGGGTGGAGGTTTGTGGGATTAGGTGTAGCCATTAGTTTGTTCTTGGCCATTTTTGTGTTGGCCTTGGCAAACTCTAGCCTTAAGGTCTGTGGGTTCTCTGGATCAAATCTGATACCCTAGGGAAAGCAAAAGGTCATAAGAAATCCATATCCCACTCTAAATCTGCATTTGCTAGATAGCATACCTTCCTATACAATTTAAATTTACACCAGTTATGAAGTTATACAGGATGTACTAGGGTTGCACAGATACCACGTACAGTATAAGTAAGAGTACATGTACCAATACTTTTGAGCTCCAAGACTAGACTAGAGAAAAATTCAAAATTAGGAGGCAGCTGTCATGTGTAAGGAGCACATGGAGCTCCTGGGATTTGCACATCTGTTTTAATGTATGATTTTGTTTTAATAAATATAAATAAAGGGATGCACAGATACCAGTTTTGAGAGTATGAGTACTGGTACTTGCAGAGTACTGATACGTTTATTGTCATGTGACAGTTTTTCTAAAACAATACAGACTAATAGTTTCAGGACAGCGGTGGAGCGCCAGTGACCGGTCTCAGCTGCCACCTCGAACCCTGGTAGTTCATGAAAATGCCAAGTATCGGCACTGGTACGCGAAAAGTATCTGTGCATCCCTAGGATGTACAATAAATCAGAAGATTAAAAGTTGGGACATGCAACAAAACCACACACTTATGGTGTAGTTACCTCAACACTACACTATGTAGGCGCGTGATCTATCTGCACTTTAGAGTTTTGCTTTTTAAAGATGGTTAAACAGGACTTGCATCCTTGGAGTTATTAATTTTGATAGATTCTGTGCAGAACAGACTGGAGGAGGGTGAGTGCACTGCACATGTACACCATTGCAGGAGAAGGCTCAACAGGCAATGCAAGGACAGGGCAGATCTTTGCCTACATGTAAAAAGTTTATTTTTTTTAAAAGCAATGTAGCAGAGTAGTAAAGGGTTAAAAAATCAATTTTTTTTGCCATCTATCCAACTGGTGAGATTTCTCTTCTAGTCCTGGAGACCATAAATCTCTCCAGAGAAAGCCAAATTCCCACCAAGAGTGATCACAGAACAGGTCTCCATAGGAGGTTTATCACATTGCTTTGGTGACAAATTCCCCCCCCTTCACTGGCCCATCTGGATGACGACTGTCACAAGGGGTGAATCTCCCCCAGCACAAGCGCCACTGCATACACGCAACATTTGCAGGACTGCAAATAGCATAAAAGACTGCTGCTTATACCAAGAGGGAAGCTTGGGTATAGTGTAGAGCTTCATAACTTATGAAAATGGTCTACACTAGTAGAAATCTGTACTCACATTTAAGGCATTCTTTGCAGCTTCAGCGCCAGCTCTGTTGTCAAAGGTAACAAAGCCTACAGGCTGCAGAAAACAGAACACATTAGAAGACAGCCTGTCAGTGAACATTGATGCACCACAGCCTGAATAAGCAGTTACCTGTTTTGATGTTAACTTGATCAGTGATCCTTCATAACCCTAAAACAGAAAAAATGAAAAGAAATGGCTTTAAGAGGTAGGTGAAGCATGTGGTGTTATTGCAGCGTTGGAGTGGATGTGCTGGATACTAGGAAAGGGTAATCTGCACAGCTAATTAGGGACAGCAGTGACAAGCTGCAGAGGGGCTGTAATTGCACCCTCTGCCATGGGGTGGTGCTGTGGTCCCAAGTAGCAGAACTGAAGTGGTACCCATATCTCCCAGCAGTGCCTAAGGCTGTGCTCTGTCAGTGTGGAATTTGTGCATATGCTGTGCAATTTTTTTTGAAGGATGAGATTACAAGTAAATTGACATGGGCATACAGACTTTAAAATGCCAGATTACACACCCTGTGAGTTAACTTTACTTAAAAAAAATAAAAAAAAAATAAAAAAAAACAGTGTCAAGTTCAGCAGCAGGACATTAAGCAGCAACAATGAAGTACATTTTAAAGTGTAAAATCCAAGTCAATTTTGCCCATCATTTGATCTATGATCAGTGGCAGAGTGGTGGAATCTGAAATTGTACCTTTCACTGTAGTTAGACCAGTTCAGGCAAAGGAGGGAAAAGAAAAATAAACCAGTTACCTCTTTAGAACTAAGGGCTTTTTACCACCCAGCATATTACTTCCCACCTGATAAGATTCTCTCCCAGAGACACAAGGAACCAGATGCACTTTATGTTAAGCTGCAGGATAGACTCTACACTCTACACGTTAGATAACACACTGATAAATCAACATTTTCCCATGTTCTTCAGAATTTCAAGACAATCTAAAGTTTCAAGATCATAAAAATTTAAGGTAACGTTTCCTAAAATAAAATACTATAGTGAAAAGCAACAACATTTCCAAAAAAATGGATTCATGAAGAGCACACATCTTGCTACAGCCAGTATCCTAACATGCATAGTTTTCACAATTGACAATACCAGGCCAGATACAGATTTTTGTAGTTTGAAGGCAAAACATGTTATGATCCTGATAGCTGCATAAAGAGATCATAGGAAACCAAAGTTACACAACGTCCTACTTTTGGCATCATTGATAAGAGACCCCATTAGGTTTTTATTGCTGTGTCACAAATGAAGGGTTTTGCTCATATTCTGTCCTGGGTGTCATGGGACAGAAATCTAACGTGTAATTGAACAAGAGTAAGTGTGTTTCTTCCAAAGGAGATGCTAGGTCCAGATACAAAATTTAAAGCAGGAATTTGCCCTCAATTTGGAAATGTCTACTTAATGTGTAGAAGACAGGAAGTATAGAAACAAAACACAGCACTAAAAACCAGAGAGACTGGACCTCTCCACCACACAAAACGTTTTGGCTGCAATTCCTCTTAAATATTTATGCATAATAAAAAAAATAAAAAAAAACGCACAAAAGTAAGGCTATACAATTGTACAAGGAAAGAGCAAGCCATTAGGATTCCATAGTCAAATAGTATATTAGAACTGTTATCTTACCTTGAATGGTCGGAACAACAAATAAAGTTCCCTTGGTTTGATGTCTATAGGTAGGCCGCTGACGAAGAGGGTACGGACCTGCAATTTAGGATGAAAGTGTTAAAGCAAATTTAGCTTGATTAATCTGCAAATCATAAGTGCAAATCTTTCACATGCTACACGTTCCAAAACTAGTACAGTAATACCTTGGTTTACGAGCATAATTTGTTCCGGAATCATGTTTGTAATCCAAAAACACTCATATCAAAGCGAATTTCCCCATAGGAAATTAAGACTATTCGTTCTACAACCCAAAAATATTCATATAAAAGTGATTTTCTACAGTATATTATAGTACAGTATTGTAAAGAAAAATAAACCAATTACCGGTACCTTCCTGGCTGGTGTAAAGGGGACGAGAGGATGATTATTGTGTAGGACGACTTTCACTATCACTAACTGAATCACTGCCATCTCGACTCAATGGAAAAATTTTAATCTAGTTAAAACCTATCCAATGTGACATTGCATGGTCGTTAGACTTATCGCTCGCACTGCTACAGACTTATTCAGCTGTGTTTTTCTACAAAATTTTGCTCTTATTGCAAGACATTGCTTGTATATCAAGGCAACATTTTTCAGAAATGTTTGCTCGTCTTGCAACACTCTCAAACCAAGGTATTACTGTATAAAAGTATTAGATAGCAGGCAGCTACAGTTTGTCTGATAACAGGCATCCTTTATTGCATTACTCCCTGGGGTTTTTCCAGGGCCGGAGCTAGGTTTCCTGCCTACACAGGCAAGGTGCATTTTTTGCAGTATTTAGTGCAGGGTCATTGCACAGTTTACAGAACACAGACAGTTACATCAATCCTTATATCCTGGAAAAGTTGGAGAACTATGGGGTTAAGGCTTTTCCCCCATAGTCCTCCTTAGGGTTAACTCGCGGTATACTAAGACGCTGCAGCAGATCGACAATTATGTCTGGATCCACCCAGCTGCGTGACTAGCTGGCTCTGCCTATCTAGAGGCAGAGCCAGCTGTACCCACCCCCTCCCATTCCACCAGTCAGCGCTGGCGGAGGGGAATCCAGCCCCTCCCCTGTCACAGCAGAGAGCCGTGACAGGATCGAGAGGTGAGTGAACGCCAGCATGTGTTCGCTCACCTACCGATCTACTGAGCCGACCTGTGACAGGCTCATTGTCACAGGTCGGCTAGAACTATGAGGTGAGTGAAAAGCACTCCTCAGTTCTCCTTTAAGGATCTAATTTCCAACTACCACAAGTGATTGTTTAGAAGGATTCTGACACTTTACCAAGGGAGGAAGGATGAATAAGAAGAAAGCGCATACTTCATGCCGATCTTGTGATGTGGGAACCAAATGCAGTATCCAGAGCTGCAATGTAATTCTATCAAGGTTTCTTACAGGTGATCTACATAGCTCACCACAATTTACTGGAATTTATGCATAGAGTTGAATTTTCATTGTGTTTGCAAGGATTGCCTCTGGGTGCTCCAAACCATAATCCAATCCTTTTTTTAATTTGTTGTTCGGGCCCTAAATAGGGATGTCCAGATACCAGTTCTGATACTTGGCATTTTCATGAGCACTACCAGGGTTGCAGTTGGGACCTGGCACTCCATCACTGTCCTGAAATCATTGGTCTATTGTTTTAGAAAAACAGTCACAACAAAAATTCATCGGTACTT